AATAGTATCTCATTTTTTGGCTTTAATCTTCGTTTCCTTAATTACTTGTGAGACTGACCACCCTTTTAATATAGATTTATAGATCATTTCCGCTCTTCTGATTTGGCCATTCATATCCTTTGTCTATTTTCTCTGGGATGTTTGCATTTTTCTTATTAGTTTGTAAAAGATCCTTATTCTGGAGACTGTTTCTGTTGGTTTTAAATTACAATCTTAATTTTAAATTACAATCTTAATAGAGTCTTTTTGAACTTTGTAGATTCTTTTGTTATTGAGAAATCTTTCTCTGAATTCATAAAAATATTCTCCTCTATATTGTCCTAAAATCATTACAGTTTTGTTTTTTGTTTTTTGTATTTGTCTTTAATCCATCTGTAATTTACTTTTGTACGTATGAGAAAGAAATTAATTATATTTTTTTCTTTGTGTGTAAATAAGTGTTACAGCACTATTTGTCAAATGTTACTCTTCTGATTTGCAATACCTCTCCATATACTGGTTTCCCATACAGGTCTGGGTCTATTTCTGGGCATTTAATACCCCTTTATCAATTCTACATTTTCTTAATTACAAAAATCTTGTAATAAATCATTAATCTCATAGGACAAATTTCTTCACCTCCAACTTCTTCAAATTCCTTTTGATTGCTCTATACAAATTTCACTATCAGTTTTTTTAATGTTAAACATATAGACTCGTTTGAAATAATTGCCATCTTTGTAAAACTGAGTCTTCCTCTCCAAGAGCATGACTTTTCTGTCCATCTATATAGATCTTTTTATGTTTGTAAATAAAGTGGTATAATTAGCTGTGCCTTATGTAGCTTTTGTTAAATTGATAGCCAGGTGTTCCTTATTTGCTTTTTAAAAAAGATATATTCAATTTATCTGCTGGTATTAAGAAAGCAATAGATTCTTTTATGTTGATCTTGCATCCAACATAATTTGCTCAATTCTCTTATTGATGTCTTTTGACTCTTATAGATTTTTTGTATGTAGGTGATCGACTCATGATGACCGATAACAGACTTGTTTCTTTCTTTCCATCCTATTTCTCTTTTTCTCCTACAAACAGATTTATTGAATATAACAAAATTCTATGTATAAAGTGACCTAGACCTGCTGCTTCAAAACGTGATCTTTTTTTCTAATATCTTGATAGGCCTGTTCATAAAGTGTTAAAAAGTAACTTACTCTAAAATAAATAGAAAAGTGCCCCAATGCATATTAAATAAATGACCTAACTACTGGAATTTTAGTATTTCTATAAGATAATTAACATAGGTAGGATTGAGTCCATATGGCAAGATGCTGGAGAACTGATATAAGCTATCAAGAGGCCATTTTGTACACTGCCACTGTGATACCATCATGTTTCTGGATCATATGTTCCCATTATCTGATTCCAGACACACCACAGGAATATCAGTGGGATCAGAGGTTAGTTTAGCTGCTTGCTGGGCTAGAACAGAAATCACTCCAGCATGCTCATCTGACAGGGTCCTACATCAGTCCAAATTAAGTCCTTGTGAATCAGTGCAACGGACTCCAACAGTGGATGGATTCTTCTTCACTGTGTCTTCCAAGTGCTGCTCCAAGGTCACCTCCATCCCACCCTCTGTCCACCCTGGTCTGGAACCCAATGTCATGTTGCATCCTTCACCACATAGGATAAAAGTCCTCCATCCTATTCCCGATGTTTCTTCTCCTTATGTCTGTATGCCCTACTTTACTGGATGGACCCTCCAATACATAATGAATAGAACCAGTATCCATGGGTATCCTTGTGTTTTTCCTGTTTTTAAAGAGTATGTTTCCAAGGATTTACAATAATATATGTATCTATTTCTATGGGTTTTGGTGTTTCCTTTTTATCAGTTTGGTCTGTTTGGTCATGAGTGAGTATTGCATTTTATCAAATGACTTCTCATCTGTGATGTGATCATATATATGACTCTTCTCTTTTAAACTGCTAACCTAAATAGTAATAGATAGTCTAGCGTTTACTCAGTCTTGCATTCTTGGACTAAACTCAAATTGGTTATCATGTGGTTTGACGCGTATAGTGCCAGGTTTGTTTGACTAATATTTTATTTAGAACTTAGCATCTATGTTCTTAAATAAGACTGGCCGTGATTTTCCTTTCTTGTACTGTCCTTGTCTCTTTTTGGTTTCATACTTACTAGACATATAAAAATAATTGTTAGCACATTCCTGCATACTCTATTAGAAACAGTTTGTATAAGATGGGGATTATATGTTCCTTGACTGTTTGGTAGTACTTGTAAATCAAAGTATCTGGGCAGTGCTTTATATATTTCATTATATCAAACTTTAAATTATGTTGTTTAAATTTCTATATCCTTTAGCAGATTTTTTGGGGTTTTTTGGCATTTGAATGATCAGTTATGACAGCAGTGGACTAATCAGTTAAAATCTTTCTCCATGATTATGGATTTGCCAATTTCTCTTTATAATTCTGTCAATCTTTGGTATATATTTTTTGAAACTGTCACCAGATAATTCTGTGATATCTTTCTGTTAAAGTGTTTCTTTTACCACAATTTAATTATCCTCTTTTGCCTAAATGTCTATTTTTGACTGATACTAATATTGCTAAGCTAGCTTTTTTGAATAGCACTTACTTGGTATGTTCTCCTTTTTCCTTTCCTTTTTAAATGTTTTACTTTCAACATTTCTCCTTTCTTATGTTTTACATGCAGCTCTTATAAATGACAACTGGATTTTTTAAAGTATTGCTATCTGACAACCTTTGTCTTAATTGGAAAATGTGTTTCATTAACATTTATGGTGATTATGATATATTTAGATTTATTTTTACCACATTACATGGTGCTTTTTATTTATTTTGCTTTGTGCTTTTCTTTCCTTCTTCACTGCTTTCTACTGAGTAGATCAAGGTGTTTTGTTGTTTTATTTCTGAGATTCCATCTCTTCTTTCTATTTGGCTATTTTCTTTTGGTGGTTGTCCTTAATAATATTTTATAAACAAAATTAATCAATTTCTCTATCATTCTCTTGAAAAATAAAAGAATGTTAGGATACATTACCTGAACATAAAAGAAGTGTAGTTTGAATTATTTTCTTACATCTGTCTTCCAGTTCATTAATATCCTCTGCAGCTTTGCCAAATTTGCCATTTATTCCATTCCTTGGGCTTTTTAAACATTTTAGTTCATATTTTTAATTTTGTTGGTTTGTTTGTTTTTGAGTTGGAGTCTCACTCTGTCACCCAGTTTGGAGTGCAGTGGCACGCTCACTGCCACCACAGCCTTGACCTGCTGGGTTTAGGCGATCCTTCCACCTCAACCTTCCAAGTAGCTGGAACTACAGATGCACGCCACCACGCCTGGATAGTTTTTGTGATTTATTGTAGAGATGAGGTCTCACCAAGCTGCACAGGCTGGTCTTGAACCCCCAGGCTCAAGCAATCCTCTTGCCTCAGCCTCCCAAAGTGCTGGGATTATAGGCTGAGCCACTGCACCCAGCGATATTTTTAATTCTTAAAGTTATATTTGGTTCTTTAAAAATCCACCTAGCCTTATTGTTTTCTTTATTTTTTCTCATATTTCTAATTACTTCTTTTAGATCTTAAGTAATTTTAAACATTTTCCCCTAGTTTTTAGTTGATACTTTAAATAAATGAAGTTTTTGGGGAGGGATGTCTAATCCTTTTTGGTTTTTGCTGATTTCGAAACTAAATTTATGGAGGTTTGTTTCCTCATATGTTTGAATACTTTTATGAATTTATTTTCACTGTGGCAGATAGCATATATTTGAATTCCAAACATGTGTGAGGACAGGCCCAAAGTCACACAAACTCTTTGGGTCCTTGTAGAGTTCAAAGAGAGGCATGATTGTTTTATTTTCTTGTGCTAGGACAGAGAGTGGGATTGACCTACTGAAATCTAATATGCAACCCTCTGAGGGTCCTGGCTTTAACGAGGGTCTTCTAACTCCCCACCTTTGGGCCTAACCTTTGCTCCCACATGGTCACCAACACTTGGTGGTTACAGAACAAATAGCTCCTATCTCTCTTCACCCCCCACTCCAGAGGGGCCCTAGCATCAGTTTAGGGTTTACTTTTCTGTTGTGGGTGTCCTCTCCTATCTTTGACCCCAGGCTATTTTCCTTACATTGTTGGGAGCTCATCTGTACCTTTTAAGTTTCTATCAATATATTGTAAAAAAAAAAAAAAAATTTCTAGGTTTGGTTTTACACAGGAAAGGTTTTAGCTGATATTGATCTCTATGTATTGTCAGAAACAGTAATCCCGAAATTTACTTTTACAACATGCTCCTTGCCTCTGAGCCCCACGGAATAATATAATATCCACAAAATACCAGGTTATGAAAAGAAACATACCTAAAATCAGTTTATTCCTTTTTCCCAGTTTCCCATTTTAGGTTTAACCCAGTTGTACTGTTATCTGTCATTTTAAAAAGCGTGTTTCCAAAACTATAGGGCAACTCCAGAAGGATTAAAGACAAGATAACTGAGAACAGTCTTGACTTCCAGAATCATAAAAGTTCTCAATATGTTGGTTTATCTTGCAACCAGAGAGTCATTTTCATAGCTTAGATCTGTAAAACAGTGGACACAGGAAAAGTGGGGGAAAAGCGTTCTATACATACATAAAGGGTTGTGAAATCATATGAGCTTACACAAAATGCTGAAATGGTGATTTGCCTTCACACCTCGGTGCCCTCTGAATTACTCCTCCCCTTCCCCCCTTCCCCTCCCCCACCCCCCACTCTATCCATTCAAGTTACAACAGCGAATCCTCAGGGGGATCTTAGAAGCCCAGTCTCTCTCCTCTTTCCCCTCTGACCTTCCTTCCAATTGATCTGACTGCAGTGCAAACCTTTGAGGTTTAATATTGTGCAATTTCCACGTCTCCCCAGCCTCCCCTTAACCGCCCTCCCACCCCCAAATTCAGGGGAACTCCCGTTACCGCAGTGCCACCAGCATTACTCATTCATTCCCATTCAGGCTTTCCCCGGCATTTATTAAGGGCTCTCCGCTCCTGCCTCTCATCTCACTCTCACTCTCCTCTGCTCCAACTCCACTTGCTTGAGAGCCTCTTGCTCGCCTCCGCCCGCCGGCTGTGGAAGGAACTTTGTCTCACAGCAATGCATCTCCTCGCGATTCTGTTTTGTGCTCTCTGGTCTGCAGTGTTGGCCGAGACCTCGGATGATTATGATCTCATGTACGTGAATTTGGACAACGAAATAGACAATGGACTCCATCCCACCGAGGACCGTAAGTTCCTTTTAACCGTTTCTCTGCTAACTGCTCTAACTCCATAGCCTCCTCATTTGGTCTAAATAATATAAGCATACCTCGCAGCCAACGAAACGAGCTGGAAAAAGTATAGTTTGTTTTTGCAAAAGTGAGACTAAGCGCTCGAGGAATGAGGAGTCCAAAAGTTATTTCTGTAACAGATGCATAAGAGGTTCAACCATATGAAATCGCCGATGTTGGACTTCTTTTGAGCGACAAAAGCGGCAATTTCATAGAGTACAATTTAATCTGCACCTGAATGAATGGTTTTCTGTGTCATTTTTGAGATATTTACACGCTGTTATTCTGGAGACGCCCTTCAAGGGAAGGGGGATGCCGGGGATGGGCTGTAACTTGGCACGACCGAGGGAGGGCCGCTTTTACAAAGCCCCTCCGTGGAGGACTTGGGCGGGCCGGTAACGCGTGTCTGTCTCGCGCCCTAGCCACGCCGTGCGACTGTCGCCAGGAGCACTCCGCGTGGGACAAGCTCTTCATCATGCTGGAGAACTCGCAGATGAGGGAGGGCATGCTGCTGCAGGCCACCGACGACGTCCTCCGGGGCGAGCTGCAGAGGCTGCGGGCGGAGCTGGGCCGGCTGGCGGGC